GCACCGGCCTTGCCTCGCCGGGCGGGTGCGGTGAGTGGCGCTGCGGCGGCGCGGCGCGGTGCCGCGGGCAGAGCCCCCCGCGCTGGCCCCGCCCGGTCCCTCTTCCGCGGTCCGGGGGCGGTGCGACCCTGCCCCGCCGCCAGCCCCGCATCGGAGCGGCGGAGCGGGGCAGCCCCGGCGGGAGGGGGGCGCGGGGTGCCGCGGCTTTGTTCGTCCTGCTTGTCCCCAGCGCCGCCGCCGCCGGCCGCGCCCGGCGTGGGGAGTGGGCGATGCGGCTGCCCCGGGCCGGGCCGGGCGTGCCGAGACCCGCGCTGCGCTGGGGCTGCCCCACGACAAGCGGCTGTTCCCCGCGGTGCCCGCCGCCCCATGAGCATATGTTCGTATGTCGGTGGGGTTTTCCCTCCCGCTGTAGCGGAACTTCATTTAAAACGAAGCAAGAGCAGCTCTCGAGGAAGAAAATCACTACTTCTGCGTTATTCTATCGCGGGGTCCTAGTTAATTAGTAATTGCACACAATGATATGGTAAAGTCGTGTAATTACAAGCGTAACCTTTTATTTTAAGGAAGAGAATTTGTAGTTTTATTCCACGTTTGTAGCGTTTTGTATATCCAATTATGTCGTGGCGAAATGTAAAAAGAAAAGGAGGGCTGGTAAAATGCAAAGTTGGGTTTGTACACAGCGCCCTTTGAATTCGAAATTGTGCATTCTGAAATCCTATGGGTTTTTTTCGTTTATTTTCATGGACTTGCTATATTATGGTAATACTGTTTGATGTGCTTTTTGTGTTGTTGTGAAGACGTAAATGTCAGCAAGCAGCTCTACCTAAAAATTATGAAAAAAATGGTTGCTGTTTCTTTCCTTGGAAATGAAATCATAATTTATTAGCCTAATATTTTAAGTCTTTTCCAGTAACGTGAATGATTCTTCCAGTATAGCAAGTATATTTGAGGTTCTGTTTCCTGAATGTTATAACACATTTCTTTATGTATTATTTGCAGAGTGAAGCCCTTTTTGATTCGCATCCAGTTCTATCATGACTGCAGTAAAGACAAATCGTTATTACCTCATGAATAACTTTGGAGTGTATTATCCCTTGGACTTCATGTAATGAATGAGTGTCCACATCGTCCAAGTGGGCAAATAGTTGATGTATCAGACTTGCTTAAAAAGTCAAGACTGGATTTCATGTAACTGAAATACATCTGGGAATTATATTTCTGATATACGTTTAAATGCGAAGAGGGCAGTTCCTAGTGTTTGCCTCCCTAAAGCCCCCCTACCTCATGGTCTCGTATGCTGCTTCAAGCAAGAAAAATCTATTGTGTACAAGGGGGTTGACTGGGGTCCTCAGGAAGATGGCTTAGTGTAAGTGGCACGCTGAAAGCTTTGTTCTCCTTGCAGATCTTCAGCATGACATACTGCCTTCAGTCAGATGCTCACTGTTGCGTGGTCTACTGTGCTTTGAGCTGAACAGCATTTTCAGAAATGTCCTGCTATCATTACAGGAATATTTTGTAAGCCACACACTCGAGTGCAGCAATACACAAGAAGACTCCAGTCATGCAGAAATACAGAGCTGGACATAACTTAGTGTATGCTGGTAGTTGATGGCATTCCTTGTTTGTCTGTGGAAGATACAGGTTTACTGGAAGGAGGAAAAGAGGGCTTTGTCCACTGCATTATCACTGCTCCATGAACACCTGCAACTAGGTTTTTAATGGGAATCCAGCTTTCTGTCTTGGATGTACTTAGCTCTTTGTATGCCTAAGGATTTAGACTCCAAAGCAGAATTTGCTGTAAAATAATTTTTGGTGTTTCAATTAAGTTGAAATGCGTGAGAAGTAAGTGCATGAGTCTGATAATCCGCAGGTTTTGATGGAAACTCCACAAAAGAATCTCAGAACTCCTTCCTTAGCACCATCCCTACAGGAAGAAAAGGGCAGGTAGCCTGTTGGATACTACGAGACCATCTGCAAGATCCATGGGAATCATCTACACTGAGGTTTTGTGTCTTTGCAGCAGCCATAGTCTTGCAAAGGCTTGCTTCATGTGGGAATGGGAAGGTATCTGGGAGGATCTGTAGTTTGTATAATGAATTTTAGAGTAACTTTTTTTCATACACACAAGGATACAAACCAGAATATATCTGTACAGGAGAACAGAATAAAATTGTGGGTCTCTGTTGGAGATATGCACACTTGGGAGAATAGCAGCCCTACTGTGCTAATGGTTATGTAGGTGCAAAGCACCCAGCATGGTCTAAGGTTTAGGAAGGGTGTTGAATTTTGTAGGGAATGTGAGCTGACTCTTGTAATCATAACTCCTTTTGTCATCAAATGCATTAACATTTGCTTTGTTTCAGTGTGTGACCTGCAGTCTTTGGTTTTTCAATATGTTTGAGTTGAACTTCTTCAGCTTTGGGGAAGTCAGGAAGCTGCAGGCAGCAAGTAGTTAAGAAAGTGGATGACCTCAAGGAGTGCAGAGAGGGAATGTGAGGAAAAGCTGACATTGTCATCTTCGTTAGGCAAGTTCCAGTAGTCAAGAATGGTTTCCAAGGTTGCTCCACTCCTGTACTGCTCTCAGAACTGGTCTGTCTCAGAACTAGATCCGTCTTCTGTTATTATTTGCAATAGTATATATATATTCAGTATGTGCTATAAATATATATGGTATGCAGAGTACAGGGCTAATGTTTCCAAAGCTACACAGGCAATCGTGCGGGACTAACCAGGTTGGCTTCTTCTATTATACTGAGCAACACATATGCATATTGTGCAGTGCTATAAAGTGTCTGTATGTATTTGGATTCAGTGACATTTCACTGGATGTGAAGGCTTGTTGCAGATTTCTGATTTGTGATAATAAGACTTGCCATCTTCATGTGTGGATATTCTGTGGAAGAGTCTGCACAAAAACTAAAGTGTCAAGTGGTATATAGTGTTAGATGTTATAGATAATTGTTTGATTACTGCTAATTGTTTTTAGAGAAGTCTTCAGATCTCCATCCTGTTTTTTGACCTGCAACTGGTGAACATTCTTGAATATGTGATGTTCCCTTGAAAAAAGCTGGAAAGAATTGCCAAGAAGCTCAGTGAACCAGTCAGGCATTGCCTTTGCCTTAAAATATGACACCAGTAACAAAAAATGGCATCGTGTTACCTTTCCTCTTGGGAATTTTCATGGATATTGGGCTCCCGAGACTTTCCAACATGAATTCACCTGTTAATGCATTTGGACTTACCAAAAATGGATAAATGGTTCCATCCTTTGGGAAAATTAATTTACTCTGTTGGTTGTAGAGTGTAAAGGCAACTTAAAAGAGAAAATAAAGAACAAAAAGGACCTTCTGGAGCACACGTAATACAAATTCAGTGTGTTTTGTGTTCCTTTCTCTTTTTGCCTTAAAGGCCATATAGCCTCCATTTCTAAATGAATTCCTAAAGCACTGGGATTACTAATTCAGCCTCAGGTCTTAAATCAATGGAACTTTTGCCTCCGGCACTCTTGTGAAGGACATGAAGTGAGGATGTGTCTACAGTATGCCAGCTAGTCTAATAAAGGAAAGCCTCATGAGTAGAAAAAGCAGCAACTACATATCATGAGATAGCACCTTGCCTTACAAAAATATTTTCTTCATCATGTGTTGCCATCAAAGACATTAACTGCTTGTAAGATCATTGAATGCCTGAACTGACAGTAAACCAAAGAGGTGTGTTCATAGCTATATTTTGGAAATGCAGAGCTAGGATCTGTATTACTGGCTTCAGAGGAGTTGTACAGAGGATGAGAGAGAGAAAGAGAGAGAATGCATCCTTTGGGAATAATTTAAAATAGGTATGTGCATGAATCCTGATGCATGTGATTGCATGGCTGTATCTAAGGGATAATTTGGCCTATTTTTTCTTTTTTTTCCTTTTTTTTTTCCGCAAAGCCTCTCTGCAAACTATGTGAGGGTTTATACTGTTGTTCAGAGTGCTGTTCATGTCCATGTTCTTTGTTTTGTCTGCAGCTGTGGGCAAAAAAAAGGAGAACAAACACATACACAACTTTGCAGTAAAAAACCACCTTTCCTGTGGTGTTCTCAGGATATCTAACAGTGAATTAAGACTGTTATAGAAAAGTCCTTCCCCTTCCTGCCGTCATCGTCTGAACTATAAAAATCAGGCAGAATTTAAGTCTCACTGGTAATTTTAATTCACTTTTTTGCAATTTTTTTAATCATTAGTGGTACAAGAAACCTGTACAGTTCATCTTCAAAGAAGTCTAGAAAATACTTATCTCTTTTGAGTGTATTCTTCACGATGGCTAAAACAATGGATGCAATTCTCGATCTGCCACCATCAATTGGAATTTGCTGCTGGTTTCTGTGAGGACAGGATTTCCTCTTCTGTGCTACCAATTAGTTTGTTTTCTTTGTATGGTCACTTACTAATGGAATTCCCCTGTTTGTGAGTATGTGTGATAAGTGCACTTTATTTAGTGTTATGATATTGGAAGACATCACAATAGCTACATCGTGTTAGGAACAGAACCTGGAAGTATTTGATTTGTTTTCAAAACCCAAGTTTGTGTTTCACTCGTGGTACGGTGCAGTGCGTAAACTTGCAAATGAGAGTTGTATGTCATGCTTTGGAACCAAAACTTCCACTACCTTTTTTTTTTTTTTCCCCAGTAATATATGATAAAACTTCAGTTGTGAAAAAAACAGCCTCCATTTCTGTCAGATGTGGCACAGAAAGTGGCCTGAAAATACAGCCTTACAAATTTTGCAGCTGTGTGGTTACTTCGCCTTTTTATGTTTATCTTTAGAAATGAGATAGTCTTTAGCCTGTAACATCAATTCTATATGCTTAATAATAAAACAAAATTATTGATACTGCAAGATTTATTATATAGAAGTATATATTTAGTATATAGAAGCTGGAGTATATTCTGATCAGATTTTCTTGTGAGAAAATCTGTTAATATGAACATGTATTAAAATTCCATCAGAAGTGCATGTTTGTAAAGTTTTCCAGTGGAAAAAGAGGAATTCAAAGTTTGTTTGCTTTTCTTTAATGTACACTGATTAACAGTGTATATGTTCACCTGTGTGGAAGTACATATGCATACACATGGGAAATATGACATTTGTGTTCCAGAAAACTCTGTATAGAAATTGAGAAGGATATTAATATTTGTGTTCTTCTTTACAAAGCATGAAAAATGGTGGGGTGTTTGTTTAAAATAATTAATTTTAAAAAGTAATTATATAAATGGGTTAAAATTTCAGATTTTGATGTTGTGCCTGTACAGCATAGGAACTAATGGGAAGCAAAAAAGACATGTTACTGCCAAGCTTGGAGTGGGCTATGATGCTCTTGAATGATAGCAGAGAAGTTTTTAACCAGACGCTGGTGAGGGTGTCACTAGAGAGGTATGACAAGAAATACTAGTTTCCCTTCGCATGGACATGTGAGCAGATGATCTGGAATATTTTGGGAATGTCCAGATTTGGAGGATAATGTGGAAAGAGAATACAGTATATTAGCCTGAATATAGGAACTTCTGAATATGTTCCTGATTCACTCGAAAGGTAACAAATGTCACAGAAAACCAGCTTGCATCTGTAGAAGAGTAAGCTGCAGAGAGCCATGTGAGGGAAGTTCTCCCTGTTCAGTGCAGAGACGCTATGGCGCTTGATGATCAAAAGAAGGATAAACTAAAAACATGGTAAAAGAGCTGTCCTAGGCTCATCAGTTATTTGAACACTGGGTTGTGTTTTCCATGTCCCATAGTTATTGCAAAAATGATCTCTTGTCACACTCTGCATTACCCACTCATGTTTTAAATGTAAATATCATTTTTTATCTCTAAGGGTGTTGTAAACTCTTGCCATTTTCATTCATTAGCCCTTCCTCTTCCCCATATGTTTAAGTTTCACGGTCTTTTTTTGGATTCTGTCGTTAGGGAGGAGGTGGAATATTCGACAGACAGGCAAATGGTCAAGCTCTTCTCTGGTGCAGGTGGTGTTTGGTAAGAAGTGGTAGACAGATTTACAAACTGAGGAAATGCAGTATAACAGCATATACTTAAGTTTTAAATTACACTGAAATTGATCAGTACTGATGTCTTTGCATTTATATGCAAAGTAATACTGTTCTGCATGCTGAAATATTGTTAGATGTAGCTTAAAAAGAAATTGCTTCTATGAAATGAAATGACATAATGAAATACAGTTTCTGTATTTATTTGAATAATATAATGTGTTTAATGTATGTGTTTGTAGCAATACATGGACTCTAACTTTAGTTCTGCAGATTGAAGACCTTGGGCTATCTGAGGACATACCTGGATAGGATAGACATAAATATGTTCTATTCTTG